ATTTCTCCAAAGAAGACATACAGATGGCTAACAAAGACATGAAAAGATGTTCAACATCACTCATTATCAGAAAAATGCAGATCAAAACCACAGTGAGGTACCATCTCATGCCAGTCAGAATGGTTGCTATCCAAAAGTCTACAAACAATAAATTCTGGAGAGAGTGTGGAGAAAAAAGAACCCTCTTACACTGTTGGTGGGAATGTAAACTAGTACTGCCACTATGGAGAACAGTGTGGAGATTCCTTTAAAAAACTGGAAATAGAACTGCCATATGACCCAGCAATCCCACTGCTGGGCATACACACCAAGGAAACCAGAATTGAAAGAGACACATGTACCCCAATGTTCATTGTAGCACTGTTTATAATAGCCAGGACATGGAAGCAACCTAGATGTCCATCAGAAGACAAATGGATAAGAAAGCTGTGGTACATATACACAATGGAATATTACTCAGCTATTAAAAAGAATGCATTTGAATCAGTTCTAATGAGGTGGATGAAACTGGAGCCTATCATAAAGAGTGAAGTAAGTCAGAAAGAAAAACATCAACACAGTATTTTCATGCATACATATGGAATTTAGAAAGACGGTAACAATGACCCTATATGCGAGATAGCAAAACAGACACAGATGTAAAGAACAGACTTTTGGACTCTGGGAGAAGGCGATGGGATGATTTGAGAGAATAGCATTGAGACATGTATACTGTCATATGTGAAATAGATTGCCAGTCCAGGTTCGATGCATGAGACCAGGTGCTCAGGGCTGGTGCACTGGGATGACCCTGAGGGATGGGATGGGGAGGGAGGTGGGAGGGAGGTTCAGGATGGGGGACACATGTACACTCATGGCTGATTCATGTGAATGTATGGTAAAAAACCACCACAATATTGTAAAGTAATTAGCCTCCAATTAAAATAAATTTTAAAAAAAGAAAGTAAAGAAAACAAATAAAATAGCATCATGTCAGTTAATGTATAACATAAGAAACACCCAAGAGTATACTTCTGTTCTCTTCTCACCCCATTTTTGTGCTATTGTTATTCTTTTTTACTTCCACATGTTATAAACTGTATTATATTTTTATTTTTCAGTAATCAGCCAATAGTATTTTAATAAAGAAAATTAAGAGAGAAGAAAATGTCTTTAAATTTACCCACCCATTTACTATTTCTAGAACTTTTCTCCTCTGATAGATTGGAATTTACATATGGAATAATATTCCTTCATCCTGAAAACTTCACTTTATACTTCTGGTAGCCTAGAAATGCAGGCAAAGAATTCTTTCTGCTTTAATTTTTCTGATGATTTCTGACTTACATTTTAACCTGATACAGAGTTTAAGGCTGACTTTTTTTCTCTTGCAACCTGTTACTCATTTCCGTATTCTTATGTCTTGTTTCACTTCTATTAAGAAGTCAGTAGTGATTCTTATCTTTTGGCCACTGTATATAACATGTCTCATTTCTCTGGCTACTTTTACTTTTAAGCAATTTAGTCATTACTTGCCTTCGAGTGTTTTCCTTTGTATTTCTCCTGCTTTCAGAGTTGTCAGATAGCTTTTTCTTCCCCATTGTTGAAATGATTGTTACAGAGACTGCTTCTAGCCTTCTTATGTCAGAAACATTCTCTTGCATGTCACCTTGACAATTTCAAAAGAATTTCTCAGAGGTGTATATCCAAATATGTCCTTCAGTTCAGTTCAGTCATGTCTGACTCTTTGTGATCCCATGGACTGCAGCATGCCAGGCCTCCCCATCCATCACCAACTCCTGGAGTTTACCCAAACTCATAGCCATTGAGTCAGTGATGCCATCCAGCCATCACATCCTCTGTCATCCCCTTCTCCTCCCACATTCAATCTTTCCCAGCATTAGGGGCTTTTTAAAAATTAGTATTCTCTAGGCCAGAATACTGGAGTGGGTAGCCTTTCCCTTCTCCAGGGGATCTTCCCAACCCAGGGATTGAACCCAGGTCTCCTTCTTTGCAGGTGGATTCTTTATCAGCTGGGCCACCAGGGAAGCCCAAGAATACTGGAGTGGGTAGCCTATCACTTCTTCAGAGGATCTTCCTGACCCAGGAATCAAACTGGGATCTCCTGCATTGCAGGTGGATTCTTTACCAGTTGAGCTATCAGGGAAGACCATAATATGTCCTTAGTATGTCATGAATACTTAAATCCTTAATTTAATGCTGTTAAGAGATTCCAGTGGCTTTCTTGGTGGTTCAGACTGTAAAGAATTCACCTGTAACGCAGGAGACCTGGGTTTGATCCCTGGGTCAGGAAGGGTATTCCCTTGGAGAAGGGAATGGCTACCCATTCCAGTATTCTTGCCTGGAGAATTCCGTGGGCAGAGGAGCTGGGAAGCTACAGTCCATGGGGTCACAAAAAGCTGGACATGACTAAGCAACTAACACTTAAAAACATTCCAGAATAGATGGGTTTATTTTCACATGCCCAGTGTCCTAATCCTTATCAGTACTCAGTGTTATCCAACTTTTTACTTCTGCTTATCTAATGGGTAATAAATTGTATCTCCTTTTGTATTTATATGCCTTTATCTGATTACTAGCAAGATTATTAACTTCTTGATACAAGTTTAGATAGTCCTACCCTTTGTGGATTTCTTATTTACACAGTATAATAAATTATTTGTCAGATTTTGTCTTGTTCCCCTGTGATTTGCAGGCATTCCTATCTAGGTATTGATCCCTTGATATCATTAGGCTTTGAAAATATCATACTGTCATGTCAGACATCTGCTAACTTTGTCTATAATGTCCTTAATTTAGCATATATATTTAAGGTTGTCAAATTAATTTTTCTCATACAGTTTGTACTTTGGGGTTCTATTAAGAAATATTTTGCACCCCAATATCTCAAAGGCATTATCCTGAGTTTTTACTTGTGTGCTTTTTTTCCCATAGAGGGAACAAATTTTCCTCTGGAACCCCTCTTTTTTCAACTGATATGTGATTCCACCTGTTTTTATTCAGGATTTTGGCAAGGAACTACAAGACAGATTCAAATGACATTCTGAATATCATCAAATGAAGAACATATTTATTTAAGAGTGATTGGAATTAAGTGAGTCAACAAGATCCTCAAGGTCTGGCTACTGTTGGAACTTGTCACTCCTCATACATTAACGACAAATGATGAAAGAGCGTTGTCAGAGCCTGGATGATCTGGAGCCATGGGTGATGGGCTAAGGGCAGGAGCTGTATTTGTAGGGGGATGAGCCCCCTGACGTGTGGCAACGAAACAGGAAGGGAGCAAGGAAAGAGATGCTTTGGCCTCTTTCTCTTCTCATCCTTCGGTCTCCCATGACTCTCATAGGCCAGAAAGGAAGGGACCCCAGGTGACTTGGTAGAGAGCAGCTCTGCAGGCTAGAGAATAAAGGAAAGAAGAGAATGGATCTGAGGGGACAAATGGAGAAAGACCTACATACACCACTTACATCAAATACCACATTTACTTTTCTCATATCTCTAGTCTGTTCCATTTGGATTTGTCTTTTTGCACCAATACCACTCTGTGTCCTTTTACTGTGGCTTTATTATATATGTTAATGTCTAGTACAGTGAATTTAGAAACGTTTCTCTTTACTGTTTTATGGTTATCTTTGTTATTAGTGAATGTTAATTCTTCCACATAATTTTGAGGTTAAGCTACCCTATTGCTCCTACTATTCTGCTACCATTGTATTAGAATTTTATGGTTTGTAGACTAATACAATGGCAACTTTAATCTTTAAAATGTTAATATTTTCCTCCTCCATGAACATGATATTGCTATACAGTTTTTTAGGTTTAGAAAAATATTCTTAAAATTCCTAAAGAATCTCACACATTATTTAACTTAAGTTAGAGAAAAGTACTAGAAATTTGTATTTCTTAAAAATTTGTATTTCTCTATTTTCTTATTTCTTTCCATGTAAATTATTTCATCCACATTTGTTCATTTTTCTCCTTCCTTTCTCATATTTGCACTACTCTGACAGCTTCATTTTCTGATCATGTTAGATAAAAACATTTAATTATTTAGATTTATTTATTTAATTTATTTTTTGAATTATATACTATTTATATTTTTAATATTTTGAGGAACCTCCATACTGTTTTCCATATTGGCTGTACCAATTTACATTCCCAACAACAGTGTACAAGTGTTCCCTTTTCTCCACGTCTTCCCCAACACTTATTTGTTGTCTTTTTGACAAGAGTCATTCTGACAGGTATGAGGTGACATCTCATTGTGGTTTTATTGTACATTTTCCTGATGATCAGTAATGTTGAGCATTTTCACTTGCCTATTGGCCATCTGTATGTCTTTGGGAAAATGTCTATTCAGGTCCTCTGCCCATTTTTAAAATCAAGTTGTTTTAATTTTTTATACTGAGTTGTATGAGTTCTTTCTATACTTTGGATATTAACCCCTTATCAGACATATCATTTGCAAATATCTTCTCTCATTCAGTAGGGTGCCTTTTTATTTTGTTGATGGATTTTCTCACTGTTTAAAAGATTTTAAGTGCCATTTATGTTTTTCTTTCCCTTGCCAGAGGAGACAGATTAAAAAAAAAAATTACTAAGACTGTGCCAGAGTTAAAAGAGAAAGATTGCAAAGATTTTTTTCTCATTAAAAATAATGTTTTTGGAGATTTTTAAAGATAGCCTTTATCAAGATAAGGAAGATCCTTCCTATTTCCATTTTCAAAGACTACAGTCACAATATTCCCTTATATAATATTCCTTAGACATTATAGTGTTATTTCTCCTTCATAGATAGTTTAAATTGATCCAAATGACATGCTACATAATAAACATTGTTTCATGCTTTACTTTCAAAGGGAGGCGAGTCAAGTTGAAACCTGTGCTTGTTTGAGAATTGTTGTTGCATCCTAATGGTGAAATGAGTTTGGACGAGCAGTCCTACACACTGGGTGAGGCTGCCACCTTCGCATTTCCTTTGTGAGGGGAATATGTATTTTATGCCGGGAAAATAAGCTGCAGCACACAGGCATCTGTTGGGGTTCTTATAGAAAGTCCTGCGGGTTGCCAGGACTACAGCACATCTGCTTGGTTTTGGGGACAGCAAGAGCCCAGCTGATCCAGGCATTTGGGTGAGGTCCTTTCTGAAGAGCCTGGAGTCTTTCTTAGATCTGTCTTTTATTTTGGGGAAAGGTAAATGAGAAAATTTGAGATGCTTCTATTTGGCTTATTTCTTTCATTACTCCTTTGCTTCACTATATAAGCTGCATATAAAGCTATCCAGTGTTTTTGACCTTAGGTCCTTTTTACCCTGTCTGGGTTTTGTTTTGATGTTAATTTTTCTTTGTTTTTGTTTTTGCTCCTTTTTCACTTCTTTCCTTGAGAGTAATTTGCTTTAGAGGTTAAGAAAATTATAAGTCCAGTAGGTCTCTAGTATTTTAAAGAGTAGACTTATTTCAACTTCCACTAGAAATGAGCTTAGAAATAACTCTATGTATACTGAGTACCAACAAGTGTGTGCTACTCATTCCTTTGGATTGATGATAGTAATAAAAAAAATTGACTCTGTTCAAGGTATCTCTAAAACAGACTAAACTAATTGTTCCATTTCTAGATAGAGTAGAAGCCGAAATTGTGCCTTAAGTAACTAAGTCTCTGAGAATTAAAACAAAATTGTAATGAGGTGATTCACTTTATATATACATATTTGCGTATATATATTAATATGCTTCACGACTTCTTATAAATCATAAATATAAACCTCACACACATGTAAGATATAATTTCAGTGATTCTTAGCCTATATGTGTGTGTTTAAGAGTGGGTGAGACCACTGATAATTTCAAAGCTGGCCTGGAGGCGACGTGACTGACATTGTCCTTTCACTCAGGATTCTTGAAAGAAAAGCTAAATTTTAGGTATTAGAGATTTTACTAACTTATTGGGACCAAAGTTGAGTTATGTTAAAGAAAAGTGTTCATTTTTAAAAGATGCAGAAGGAAAAACCAAGCAGCAGTTGTTTATAAAGCACAAAGTAAAGTTAGATTTGGGGATACTTCAGTTCATGTTATCATTGCAGACCAGAGTAAATAGACAGTCCTGATCAAATTTGCTGAGCAGTGCCACATTGCATATGGTATTAGATAAATAGTACAGTAAAGTGCATTTGTTTGACTGTCTTCTTTCCATTCTGTACATCTCTTATCCTTGTACAAAAGATCTTATTGAAAGTTTAAAGCCATCATTATTTGTTGCCATAAATATGTAGGTGTCAATGCCAAAATGTCTGAGTAACTTCTTCAGCCTTTGTTCTAGGAGACTAGTATTTGTCTATATGCTTGTGTGTGTATAAATTATATGAACTCAAATTATATGAACTGTTAAAGAGATGCCACTATATTGTACTTTGGACATTTGAATTAATATAAATACATGTGTTCTGCGACTTGATGTTCTGTTTTATTTGGCTATTTAAAAATATAAATCTAAAATGTTTTATGTGAAAAAAAAAAAAGAGTGGGTGAGATACATTCAAAGTATCTGGAAGGGACGTAGGTCTTCAAGCAGTTTTGGAAAGCTGGCTTACCAGTCTTGAAATGCTTGCCTTTGGTCTTTCATTTTAAGAAAACTTTAAAGATAAATATTTAATTCATATAAATATTATTTATAATATATTTGCATTATAAAGAATAACAGTAAACTGAACAACCATGTAACTGCAATCCATTTAAGTAAAAAGACATGTTTCATCATTAAATGAGGTAAAAGAAGACCAAAGTTAGTTTCCAAGAGACAGCTTCATAAAGTTAAGGACCAAGCTTCTATTTTACTTTCTGCTCCATCTTCAGCCTGTGACTCTCACTTCAAGGTCCAGGTTCTATCTTAGGTATAGCCATAGGATGGGCTTCAGTCTGGCTGTAAAGAGGGAGGGAAGGTTTCTCTTCTGAATTTAGGGATTAAAGTAAGTTCTTTATAGTTCTATTTATATCGCATTGACCAGAAATCAGTCCTATAGCTCACCTGACTGTAAGGAATCTGAAAAGTGTAATCTTTGTGTTGTCCAAGTTACTTAATGAACATTGGATAGTCTCTCTAAGTAGGGAAAGATTTGTCTTTTTTAAAAGACAACCAGCAATTCGAATGGCAAGGATTAATTAATATATTTTCGATATTGAGCCTTTTGAGCTCTAGTAGTTGTAAATGTTTTCTTTATCAGGACTTGTCATTTTGCTTTCTTTATATCTTTTGATATAAATACACTTTAATGAAGTTGAATCTAACATTTGCCATCATTTTATTCGGGTTGAGGAATTTGTTCATATCCCAATTATATAAAGAGTCTATTACAAAGTGGTCTAATATTTGCATAGCTTTGGTTTTCACATTCGTGTCTTTGATCTGTGTGTGGTATGAAGGGAGATTCCAAGGCTCTGCTTTCCTGTGCATTGTCTCAGCACCATTCACAGAACAGCAATTCTTTCTTCAGTTTGCAGTCCTAGTGTTATCACGGATCAGGTTTCCACATGTTTGAGTATAATATTGGAAGAAGAAAAAAAAATCTTCTTATTTCTTGTATCTGATTGATCCAAGACTTTCTGCTAGGCAGTTAGCAGACTTTTATAGCTGAGCTTTTTTCTGCAGGTCCTCTGGGCAGCTACTGGGGAGTCCAGGTCCTACCTCTGATGTGGCATTTCCTTTGAATGTGGAAGTAGTGGGTGGAGCCAGAAGGTCGCAGATCCAGGCAGACCCTGTCTGTAATAGAGGAATTATGACTGTTTTGCCAAAACTGGCTTGTTGCCCACAGCAGAAGGCACATGAGTGTTTCCATTAGGAAGTGAGGCAACATCAGAGGCAGCAGCCAGGGCTCTGAATTGAGGGAGAGGCTTAAGCCAAGATGCAGTTGAGGCCAAGTGAATCTGGGATGTGCGTAGCTGAGTTCTGTACACTGTTTATGCTTTTGTCTACCACAGCTGCCCTCCATAGTAGTCATCTAATGAAGGCATGAGTCACAGTAAAAGCAAAGGAAAGCAAGAGGAAAAGACCTAATCTCAGTGGGTCTGACACCTGTGGTTTGGCTAAGTTATTCAGTGGCACATCAAAGAGAATTCTCTCAAAAGGCAGGATTTCAGAATTGTCTCTGTTTATTGTTTTCCTGTGTTAGCCACAATTGCTATTTCATTTTCCAGGTGTGATGGAGCTTGCATTTTCCTATGTATCTGGATACTCTGTAGCCATTCTCCTCTTACAAATGGTAGTACTCCCCTCAGGTAGGGTTATCCATTTCTTTTTCATGGTATGTTACATCTATAAGGGAAAATGATGAAGATAAAATACACTGAAGGAAATGTTCAGTGTTCCATGTGATAGACTGAGATCTCTTCATATATTCAGCTTGTGGGCAGAGTGGTCCAACGGGCTCAAGGTGGCTTCATTCAAATGTCTAGCATTTTGGCAGAGTAGGCTGGAAGGCTGGGATCCCCTGGCAATGTCAACTGGCGTGTTAACACATGGCCTTTCCGTTATGATGGTCTCAGGCTCATCAGACTTCGTATATGGCTACTGATGGCTTCCAGAAAGAATGAGAAAAAAAAAAAAAAGAGGAATGAGACCTGCTCATTCCTAAGACAAATCCAGGAACGATTACAGGTAGTCTTCTGCCATGTTCTATTGAGCAAACAGTATCAGAGGACAGTTTTAAAAGGAGGGGACATAGGCACTTTCTGTTCAGGGATGGAGCATCAGAAAATTTGTGGCCATCTTTAATGCACCAAAAACTGATACTGAAAAAAGCAGCTGGTGTATTTGATAAGTAAAGGCTGTTATTCAGCTATAGTGGTCCATATCCTGCCTCTCAATGGTGTGAGCTATTCACATTCCTTTATTAAATATTTATGGAGTACCTCCCATGTTCAGGCAATGTTTTATGCACTGGGGATAATACAGAGCATTTTTTAAAAGATAGAGACTCTGTTGTTGTACAGCTTACATATTAGTTGGTTATAAGAGGAAATAAGATAGGAATTTAAAATATCAGTAATAATAAGTGCTAGGAAGACATGACTAGGGGAAATGTTAAGTGGGTGGTGATAAAAGTTTTCCCTACGAAGTTGACATCGAAGCTGGGACCTGAGAATTAAGAAGGAAGCAGGGGTGGGAGGGTGTGAAAGAAGAGCACTGCTGTCAGTGTGAAGGTATCTTTGAGAGCAAAGTTCTACAATCGGAAAGGACTTGGCATCAAGAACTAGGAGTTAGGCCAATGTGTCCAGAGCAGAGGGACCCAGGTAAAGCTTTCTCCTGTGGGCTTCAGAATAAATCCTTGATCCCTGACTTTCTGCGCAGAGCAGTTCACTGTGAGCAGCTCCAGGAGCCATCAGGTGGCCCTGGTGGGTGGGCATGCTGAGTTCAGCTGCCAGCTGTCCCCACCAGAGTGCAGAGCGCATGGGGTGGGCTGGTTTCATGAGCACTGTTCCCAGCTGGTTTGCCTGTACAAGGATGGGGAAGCAGTTTCTGGAAAAAGCACTTACAACTATATGAATCACACGGTACTCCTGAGGACACCCTAGGAGAAGGCAAAGTCACCCTCAGGATCCATAATGTCAGTGTTCTTGATGGGGACAGTACCACTGTTTCTTAAAGATGGTGACCTCTGAAGAGGCCATCATGCATCTGAGGGTAGCAGGTAAGGACAAAAAAAGTCATCTCCACGTTTCCTTGGTAACACTACCCTGAACCACTTCCAGAGATAGTTTACTTATTTATATATGTGCATAATGTGCGTATACATACATATGTATATGTCCTTGCAAACATATAGACATGCAAGTATTTATCCTTATATAAATATTTATATATCCATATCTTCTTTCTAAATGCTAATACAGTATATACTTTGTTTTGCAACTTGTTTTTTTAACTTAATAGTGTAAACTGAAGTCATATCAGTTTTTGATCTTTTTTCCTAGTCCTTTCATGGTTGCAAAGTTTTCCATTGCGTGGCTGATTCAGAATTATTTTACCCATATCCTATTAAAGGACATATAGGTTGTTTTCAACCTTTTGATAAGCAAGTAATACTCTATTTAATTATTTAAATAAATTACTACATATGTAATTTCATGCATGTCCGAGTGTGTGTCTGTGTATAAAATTTTAGCATCGGGTTGTCAAATCACACATATACTCACACAAACATGTGGACACACACTTATATTTTGGGGGCTTTTAATTTAGTTCAGTTCAGTCACTTAGTCATGCCCAACCCTTTACAACCCCATGGAGTGTAAAACGCCGGGCTTCCCTGTCCATCACCAACTCCCAGAGCTTACTCAGACTCATGTCCATTGAGTTGGTGATGCCATCCAACCATATCATCCTTGGTCATCCCCTTTTCCTCTCACCTTCAATCTTTCCCAGCATCAGGATCTTTTCCAAGGAGTCAGTTCTTCCCACTAGGTGGCCAAATATTGGAGTTTCAGCTTCAGCATGAGTCCTTCCAATGAATATTGAGGACTGATTTCCTTTAGGATTGACTGGTTTGATCCCCTTGCAGTCCAAAGGACTCTCAAGACTCTTCTCCAACACCACAGTTCAAAAGCATCAATTCTTCAGCACTCAGCTTTCTTTATGGTCCAACTCTCACATCTGTACATGATTACTGGAAAAACCATGATTTGACTAGACACAGACCTTTGTCAGCAAAGTAATGTCTCTGCTTTCTAATATACTGTCTAGGTTGGTCATAGCTTTTCTTCCAAGGAGCAAGTGTCTTTTAATTTCATGGCTGCAGTCACCATCTGCAGTGATTTTGGAGCCCAAGAAAATAAAGTCTGTCACTATTTCCATTATTTCCCCATCTATTTCCCATGAAGTGCTGGGACCAGATGCCATGATCTTAGTTTTCTGAATGTTGAGTTTTAAGACAGCTTTTTGACTCTTCTCTTTCACTTCCATCAAGAGGCTCTTCAGTTCCTCTTTGCTTTCTGCCATAAGGGTGGTGTCATCTGCATATCTGAGGTTATTGATATTTCACCCAGCAATCTTGATTCCACCTTGTGCTTCATCCAGCCCAGCATTTCACATGATGTACTCTGTATATAAGTTAACTAAGCAGGGTGACAATATATAGCCTCAATGTACTTCTTTGTTGTACAGTCTGTTGTTCCATGTCTGGTTCTAATTGTTGCTTCTTGACCTGCATCCATATTTTTCAGGAGGCAGGTAAGATGGTCTGGTATTCCCATCTCTAAGAATTTTCCACAGTTTGTCATGATTTACACAGTCAAAGGCTTTGGCCTTGACTTAATAAAGCAGAAGTAGTATTAATCAATAAAGCAGAAGTAGATGTTTTTCTGGAATTATCTTGGTTTTTCTATGACCTAATGGATGTTGGCAATTTGATCTCTGGTTCCTCTGCCTTTTCTAAATCCAGTTTGGATGTCTGGAGCTCACAGTTCACATACTATTGAAGCCTGGCTTGGAGAATCTTGAGCATTACTTTGCCAGCATGTGAAATGAGTGCAATCATGCAGTAGTTTGAGCATTCTTGGCATTGCCCTTCTTTAGGATTGGAATGAAAACTGACCTTTTCCAGTCCTGTGGCCACTGCTGAGTTTTCCAAATTTGCTGGCATATTGAGTGCAGCACTTTCACAGCCTCAACTTTTAGAATTTGAAAGAGCTCAACTGGAATTCCATCACCTCCACTCACTTTGTTCATAATGATGCTAAGGCCCACTTGACTTTACATTCCAGGATGTCTGGCTCTAGGTGGGTGATCATATCTTTGTGGTTATCTGGGTCATTAAGATCTTTTTTGTATAGTTCTGTGTATTCCTGCCACCTCTTCTTAATATCTTCTCCTTCTGTTAGGTCCATATCTTCTGTCCTTTATTGTGCCCATCTTTGCATGAAATGTTCCCTTGGTAATCTCTAATTTTCTTGAAGAGATCTCTAGTCTTTCCCTTTCTATTGTTTTCCTCTATTTCTTTGCGCTGATCATTTAGGAAGGCTTTCTTATCTCTCCTTGCTATCCTTTGGAACTTTGTATTTACATGGATATATCTTTCTTTTTCTCCTTTGCCTTCAACTTGTCTTCTTTTCTCAGCTATTTGTAAGGTGTCTTCAGAAAATCATTTTGCCTTTTTGCATTTCTTCTTCTTGGGTATGATTTTGATCACTGCTTCCTGTACAATATTACAATCCTCCATCCATAGTTTTCAGTCACTCTCTCTATCAGATTTAATCCCTTGAATCTGTTTGTCACTTCCACGGTATAATCATAAGGGATTTGATTTAGGTCATACCTGGATGGTCTAGTGGTTTTCCTTACTTTCTTCAATTTAAGTCTGAATTTGGCAATAAGGAGTTCATGATCTGAGCCACAGTCAGCTCCCAGTCTTGTTTTTGCTGACTGTATAGAGCTTCTCCCTCTTTGGTTGCAAAGAATATAATCAATCTGATTTCAGTATTGGCCATGTGGTGAAGTCCACGTGTAGAGTCTTCTCTTTGCTGTTGGAAGAAGGTGTTTGCTATGACCAGTGGATTCTCTGACCAAAACTCTGTTAGCCTTTGCCCTGCTTCATGCTGTACTCCAAGGTCAAATTTGCCTGTTACTCCAGGTATCTCTTGACTTCCTACTTTTGCATTCCAGTCCTGTATGATGAAAAGGGCTGTTAATTAGACTTCATTAAATTGACAGAGAAATTTGGAGAGAACTGATATTTCTTTCAGCATGGGGTACAGTTTATTCTCCTGCATCAGTATGAACTCTAAATTTCTGTGTTGATAGGTGCCAAATTCCTTTAATGAAGGGCCTCTTCTACTTTTAGGGAACTCCAAGCTGCTCATTATTTTCAAATTGCCTCTAGGTAATCAGAAAAGGTCTCCAGGGGAAAGGCCAATAACTATCTGATATCTATATGGGTATGGAGTGGGGTTAATATACCAGGATCTTCACCCTCCTGGGCCTCTAGTTTCCAATCCTTTCTCTTTTACTCCCAGAAGTTCTCTTAAAAAAAAAAAAAAAAAAAACAACAACACAAAAACAAAAACCCAAGGTCATGAGTTACTTTCCTGACAAGCTATGACCAGAGGCAGAAATGGCTATACCCTCCCTGAATTCCAATCCATTACCTCTCCATGGACTGTAGTCTGCCAGACTCTCTGTCCATGGGGATTCTCCAGGCAAGAATACTGGAGTGGATTGCTATGCCCTCCTCCAGGGGATCTTCCCAACCCAGATACTGAACCCTGGTCTCCTGCATTGCTGGTGGATTCTTTACCATCTGAGCAACCAGGAAAGCCCAATAATATTGGAATGGATAGCCCATCCCTTCTCCAGGGGATCTTTCCTACCCAGGAATCAAATCGGAATCTGCTGCAATGCAGGAGGATTCTTCACCAGCTGAGCTATCAGGGAAGCCCTTTACCTGTTCAAATCTTGTAATTTCTCTGTCTTGTTAGACATTCGAGAAAATCTTAGGGGATGAGTTTTTGTTATTTCATCCACCTTTGGGTTGTCTTCAGCAGAAAAATTGGTTCAAAATACTGCATCATCATTACTACTCTGAGCACACCATTAATATTTTTAAGTTGTATTTATTATTTGTATACTTATCTACTCCTCCAAATAAATTGATTCCATTTCTATGCTCAGAGTGATGCAAATTTCAAAATAGCCTCTATAGAGATGGGGATACCTAGTGGAATTTGGTTTTAGCTTTGGATTTTTAAAAAATATTTTTCTTTTTGTATTGAGGTATGCTTTACACACAGTAGAGTGCACAAATCTTAAAGTACAGCTCAGTGAATTTTTATATATTGGGATACCCATGAACTTGCCCCTCAGATGAAGATATTACCCAGATGGTTCCATCTTGCTCCTTCGTAGTTAATGCCATTCTCTTCCTACTGAGGGAAATAGTCCTTTAACTTCTATCACCATAGATGAGTTTGCCTCTTCTAGAACTTGATATAAGTGAAAACATATGCTTAATATTTATGATTACCATTACCTGCTCACCATCATTCATTTATGTTGTAACTAGCAGAAGTTTGTTCTTCTGTATTTCTTTGTAGTAGTCTATGTTATGACCGAACATTTGGGTTATTTTCAGTTTGGGGCTATTAATGAATAACACTGCCATGAATATTCTTGAAAATCCTTTTAGGTGGACATTAATACTCATTTCTCTTATATTGTTAACTAGGAGTGAAATTGCTGGGTCATAAGTATATGCTTAATGTTAGTAGATACTAATAATTTTCCACAGAGATTGACCCATTTAGTTCTCTGGAGCCAACTGTGTAGAAGACCTCTGCCATCCTCTGTCCCTTGGTAATGCTGGTCCCAGTCCTGTGCATTGTAAACATGTAGACATTCTGTTGGGGGTAAAGTGGTATCTCATTGAGATCTTACTTTGCCTTTCTCTGATAGCTGGTGATGTTGAGCATCTTTGCATGTATTTGTTGACCATCTGAAGATATATATACACACATATATATGTATATATATATATATATATATAAAATCAAATGCTTCAAACCTTTCCTAATTTTAACAACCAGGTTTGCTGTTTTATTGATTTATAGTATTTAAAAAATTTATTTTGGACTCAGATTCTTTCTCAAATGTATCATGAACATCTTCTCCTAGTCTATAACTTGCTTTTTCACCTTCTACCTGTTGTGTTTTGATGGACAGAAATTATTAACCACTGTAAAGTCTAATTTATGGATTATAGACATAATGATAATCTTTTCTTCTATGGTTCATACTTTTAGTGCCCTGCTATCCTGGATTTGGATTGAAATATTCAGTTCAGTCCAGTTCAGTTGCTCAGTCATGTCCGACTCTTTGCAACCCCATGAACCACAGCACGCCAGGCCTCCCTGTCCATCACCAACTCCTGGAGTCCACACAAACCCATGTCCATTGAGTCGGTGATGCCATCCAACTGTCTCATCCTCTGTCATCCCCTTCTCCTCCTGCCCTCAATCTTTCCCAGCATCAGGGTCTTTTCAAATGAGTCAGCTCTTCACATCAGGTGGCCAAAGTATTGGAGTTTTAGCTTCAACATCAGTCCTTCCAATGAACACTCAGGACTGATCTCCTTTAGGATGGACTGGTTGGATCTCCTTGCAGTCCAAGGGTCTCTCAAGAGTCTTCTCCAACACCACAGTTCAAAAGCATCAATTCTTCGACACTCAGCTTTCTTTATAGTCCAACTCTTACATCCATACATGACTACTGGAAAAACCATAGGCTTGACTAGATGGACCTTTGTTGACAAAGTAATGTCTCTGCTTTTTAACATGCTGTCTAGGTTGGTCATAACTTTCCATCCAAGGAGTAAGCATTTTTTCATTTCATGGCTGAAATCACCATCTGCAGTGATTTTGGAGCCCAGAAAAATAAAGTCATCCACTGTTTCCACTGTTTCCCCATCTATTTGCCATGAAGTGATGGGACTGGATGCCATGATCTAAGTTTTCTGAATGTTGAACTTTAAGCCAACTTTTTCACTCTCCTCTTTCACTTTCATCAAGAGGCTCTTTAGTTTTTCTTCGCTTTCTGCCATAAGGGTGGTGTCATCTGCATATCTGAGGTTATTGATATTGATATACTCCCGGATTAGAGTATTACCCTTGCCCTAATTTGCCCATCCATATTAAACTTACGGTGTATATAACAGACCACAGAGAATCAGAGGAAACTATGTTTCAGCTTTTGAGTCCACAACAATAAATACAATAGTATTTCTGTCTTCTCCTTCAGCTCTAGGCTTGGATGTACAGATTAATGTTCATGTTCCTGACACAAAAGGGCTCATGCTGGAGTGTAATTCGGGAGGGTGGTTCCCATCACCCCAGATGGAGTGGAGAGACAGCAGGGGAAACGTAATTCCATACTCATCAAAGTCCTCCTCAGTGGATGGAGCTGGATTATTGCACCTGAAGATGAGTGTTCTTCTCAAAAACAGCACCCACAGTCCTGTCACTTGCTGCATTTGTAATCCAGTCACTGGTCAAGAGAAAAGGGCAGGTGTTATCCTACCAGGTGAGTGCTTGCGGCTTGGCTCTATCAAGGAGAAACTGTTTTCATCTATGTGACAGGCGAAAGATAAAACTGACTGAAATAAATAAATGTGAAATTGCTTTATAAACTACAAACTGCTCTAGACATGTAATATTTAAACTTTATTAAGTTCCTGGGAGCAGGGAAAACACAAGATGTTAAAGGGGATATTGTTTTAAATGGAAATAATTACATTAATTAGATAAAGAGCCCTTACGCTGTTTAACATGTTAAGGCTTCAAAAATTATATGTCATTCAAATGCTAGATCCACTATTTTCTAGCCTTGTGAACTTTATTATTTGAGTGCTATATTTACTCTTTCTAGATTTCTAGATCCACTTAACCTTTAAGACCACTCATTTTTCCCGTTTGGAGATGATAGCATAGATAGATGGCATTTTGAATTTGAAATGAAATATTACAAATGAAATGGCTTTACAAGACATAAAGCAAAATGCAAAACTAAGATTGACTTAACAATTACGGATGCCACAAGTGGTCTTAATTATCACCTTATGAATAGATATACAGAACAGTTAGTAAATATCCAGCAACCAGTAAGTGACAAATCTAAGATTGGGGCCCAGTTCACATGGTGAGTACCTATGATCTAAGCAAGGCTATTTTTTTTTCTGACAAAGGGTAAGTGTGATCAGGGAAGTCAGAGGTAAACACAATGAGTTGTGTCCTTTGTGCTTCAGCCAGTGACTAGGTACAGGCCCCAAAGAAGTCAAGGTGGATGGAAATGACAGAAGGAGAGAAAAGGCCCATTTAGTTAGAACAACAGTTCAACTCTTATACAGAAAGATTACCATCCCCAGCAGTAGTTCAAACACAACAGAAATAGTCAAATAGTTTACGAGGCTCTCTATACTCCTTGAGATACTCAGATACCTGGGTTCTTTCTACCTTGCTGCTTTGCAGCCTCAAAGGTTCTAGTCCTCCTTGCATGATTAGGTCTGATTTTCATCATTACAACTTTATCCCAAGTCTTGGGGATGTAGAAAGGGAAGAAGCAGGAAAAAAGCAATTTCCTTTCACATTTGGAAGTTGCATCTATCACTCCAGTTCTCTCCCATTGACTTAATATTAATTGCCACAGCTAACTGCCAAAGAGACTGATAATGTATAATATTTCACTTGGTGACCATATGCCACTGTAATAGCTAGAATTGGGGTTTCTGTCCATGGGGTCGCAAAAGAGTCAGACACAACAGCAATTAAACCACAACTTCAGGTCACTGGCAGTTGATAGTAATGATGGGGCAAATGCTGGCATTACACTTTTATGCATTTTGGGGAGTTCGAGGACTTCCTTGATTTATTTCCACTGAGCAATTCATAGCTTTACAAAATACTTTGAGAAGGATATTAGGTTTTCTTTCCTAGGGGAAGTTTTATCATGTCAGTCCTAAACTAGAGAGAATTTAAACACTGAATGTTAGGCGACTCAGTTTTATTTCTAGAATTTCAGAGATTTTGCAGTTTTTGAAACTTTATAAAATTTCACTGAGGCATGTCCTGATCTAGTTCCATGGCCACTGGCAACCCCAAATGTTACATGTATTGTCATGCCCAGGTCCCTGTCCTATAATTTTTTTCATTTCATGATTTGTCCCCTAGAATTAAAAGGAAAAAAGTAGGAAGTTATTCCCCCGTCCAATCCAAGCCTGCCCCATCCTTGGCACCTAAATTGCCTAATTTTAGTCTATGCCCCACTCCAGCTTCATAGGACAGTAGCCTTCATCTGAGCCTGGTACATAGTACATAGTGTAATGGGGGCCTTGAGAGGGGGTCCTGCTTCCTTAGCAGCAGTAGTCTATGCCCATGGAGCCTTGTGATACCACTGCCCTGCTTATCACATCTTTCTCTCTCTTTCAGATATCCTGTTCAAATCAAAGTGTGCGGGGATGTTATGTGAGAACTTATACCTCCTGATATATCTGATCATTTTACTTGCTCTTTTGTGTTTCAGCATAAACTGTATTTTACCCAGGAAAGGTAAAAAGCTCTGAAGTCACCCCTTATTTACCTGATTTCAAATGCCCAGGGAAGGCTCATACAAAATTATAAACCCACACCTCAATGTATCCCACTCCTCTGTCAAAGACGGTCTCAATGTCTTGAGTTATATTGGGTTAGGCTGCCATCTTCTCTCCTTATGTGATTCTCCAGCACTGCTGCTGCTATAGTGTCTAGCACTACCAAAATCTCCTGGTCCTTTCAGAGATACTGTTTCCCATCACTTGGGCCATTTTCTGAAATCTTAATGATAATAATCTGTCCTTTCCCATAGGCAGCCATGGATCTTTAAACTTATCACTAGAATGGTTCAGAATATTTTACCTGATAACAAGAATAAAAGAAAAACATATGGACCAATACCCAGATTTTTGTCCCTTCTCAGTTTGCTCTCAACTCCACTTTTTCTCTTCCTATAAATTAACCTGAACATACACTCTTTTTCCCCCATTAGAAGTAGGAAATGGAGGCTTAATTTAAGTGAACTGAAAACAGAGGGCAGTTGAAGTTATCAGATATGTTGGAGAATGACTTTGACCTTAGGAACTTCAGACCATGCAAGATGAATAATAGAAATGACTGCTTATGACCTCAAATACTTTAGACTTTCTGAGAGAAGAAGCTGTCATACCTTCTAGGCTTTTCTGAAAGAAGGAAGAGATGGATCAAGAGACTTTGGGAGATTATCTGATATATGGTGAAAAAATGACACAAACACAGTTCACAAGACAGGTTCCTTCTGAGAGCTGTCATGAAAATGAGACTTACCTATGACTCAGGAAATATAAGGCTAAAAAAGAACATAGGATTCAACTTGTCCAGGCTTCTACTTAATTCATAAATCCCTCTATAACCTTGAATGAGTATTTATCATATGTCAACCGATGCGACCAACAATAAGTAGTAAACCACTTACTAATTTACCCAAACATTCCTATAAGGTAGGCTCTATTTATTATAATTATTCTTTAGATGAAGAAATTAAGGAGCAGAGTGTTTAAGCGACTTGTTCAAGTTCAAATGACCTATAAATATAGAGGCAAGATTGGAACCCAGATGTTTCAAACGTCAAGCACTTTGCTCCAGCCACCATGCTTGTCTTCATGTTGATGTTGTGTCTTATCAAGGTTATGCTTTGCTTATTTTACAATGAGGGGGAGGTCACTGGCTTATTACAAAATTGACTTATTTATTCAACATATTTATATTAAACCTCTCCTAGATACTAGGTACTGTTCTAGACATTGACAATAAAGTACAAGGAAAAAGCCAAAAAGTCTTTGCCCTTGTAGAGTTTACTTCTAGGGTGACATGGGAAAACTCTTCCTTTTGGAACTTTCTTTTTGGTAATTTCTGGTATTTGTGATTTAAAAAACAAAACAAAGAACTAAGGCAAAAATAAAAGCAAACACTTTCTGGACCTTCTCTATTCTAAGCCAAGCATTCAGTTATTTGTTCCTTGCATAGTGTATTTCAGGATTACCCAACAACCTTGTCATTTTCCTGTAGAAATGTTAAGAATCAATAAATGAATCTTTTTCATCTTGCTTGCTGTAGGAACTCATGGTTTAATAAGAAGAGTTGTCTAGTCTTGAAATGATCTTACATTGTTGTAAGCTTCTTAGTACATGACTATTCAAGCAAAGATTAAGTAGCTAAATGACAGAGATGCTGTAGGGGAGGGGCTTTCATTTTTACCTTAAGGCTCTTACATCTGTTAAATTCTTGGCTTCCAAGGTACTTTTGTCCTGTTAGCTAATTCAGAATTTCCGCAAAGTACCACTTTGTTGATTCTATAAACTTTAGACCCTTAAGCATTTACAAGGTTATAGTAACCAGGCCCCTACCCTTTCTAGATCTTATTTCAAGGCTGATCATGTGCTGCATTGTGCAGAGGGAGGTAATTCTTCCTAACCCTTCTCTATCTTCAATGTAAATGTCTGTAAGCCCAACTTCAACCCAACTCCTAATTTTTGTGCCTGAGTTCTGACATAGGCTAAACACACATGAGTAGATATAGCAATGAGACCTTTCCAAAGTTTCCTGTAACCAGAATGTTTGTTGTTATTCCAATGTATCCCCAAAGGCCTATCTTCCTAACTCACTTTCTCTTTGACTTTTTTTTTTTCAGTTTCACAGAACAGATGGTTCGTTCTCTTTTCAGACTGTATCCCTTTCCTGATACATGCTGGCATCTCCCCTATCTACTTGATATTCAAGAATGGAGGTAAACGGCACTATGAAACAGGTCTCTCTTGCCTGGTGCCCTTGTTATTAGTAGTATTTAAATAAAGCTGGGTGATCTTTGTAAAAGCAACAGGATAAGGAGTTGGGGTTTAGGTGACATGCCAGAGGCTTTAGATTCTGCTCCCTGAAATGTCTGAGGCCCAGAGTTTTAGGCTGTACTGATAGCTGTATTTCAGCCACCACTTATGGTCATATTTGCTTGTGTTCCAAGGGAAAGTATACATTCCTTCAGGCCTTATAGCCATTTCATCCAAATTTATCAAATCCAGGCACATACTTAAAAAACCCAATTGTTATTTCTTTGACGTGTTATTGATTTACAGTGTTGTGTTAGCTTCAGGTATATAGCTAAGTAATTAGCTTATATATATACATTTCAAAATTATTTTTCATTGTAGGTTATTATAAGATATTGAATATATTAATAACTCCCTGTGCTGTAGGCTAAATCCATGTTGCTTATTTATTTTATGTGTAGTAGTTTGTATATGTTAGTCCCACACTGCTAAATTATCTCTCTCCTGCCTCCTTTTTACCTTTTGGTAACCATATTTGTTCTCTTTGTCTTTGTTTCTGTTTTATATATATACATATTCATATGTATTTTTTTAGGTTCCACATATATCACATAGTATTTGTCTTTGTCTGATTTCACTTTATATGATATTCTGTAGGTCTGTCCATCTTGCCGCAAGTGGCAATATTTAGTTCTTTTTTATGGTTGAGTAACTTTCCTGTGTATGTGTGTGTGTATCTCACATCTTCTTAAACCAATCATCTGTGGAGGGGCACTTGGACAAAACCCAATTTTTTTTAAAAAATTATTTTATTGAACTATAGGTGATCTACAATGTTAAGTTACTTTTTGCTGTACAGTAAAGTGATTTAGTTACATGTTTATATATCTTTTTCCATTGTAAAACCCAATTATTGATGCTACCTATAGATTGACTCCAAATCATGATTCATAAGCAGTTTTGAGTTAGAGATCTTCTTTGAAAAATTAATGAAAAAATTAAAATGTAAATTTTTGCTTGTTTTTATTATCTACTCAGTTTCAAAACTATTGAAAGTTTTCTCTTAACTCTCTTTACTATATATTTAGGTGTCATTTAGAAGTGCAATTATACTATGCCATATGCCTTATGATGCTAATATCTGAGAATTTAGCAATACTTTTCATCAGTTGCAATCACTGGGAAATATTTATGTAGAACAATGACTGTCAAAGTAAACAAAAGAATTCCTTTATTATTTGCTAGGGCTTTTCCCAATCTACTACATATTTCTTAATTGCCCACAAACAAAGCACATTTTCATCTCCAGTTATAAATCATTTGCATCTCCAGTTATATATAAACTATTTGCATGTCCAGGTATATATAAACCATTTGCACCTCCATTTATAAACCCAAGTCTCAAATCCTTACAAAGATGAACACAAAGGCCAATCCTATGAAGTTAATTAGAAAGTAGTAAAACTATGTAAGACTGTACAAAACTGATGTCAGACTATGATTTACATGCTGTAATAACTATCTATGTATCTATCTATTTATCTAACCTTCTAACATCTACATATTTATCTATCATCTATCTATCATGTACCTACACACCATTAGTTTCAGGTTAGCTATTGAGAAGCATTGCTTAAAAATTTTTTTCAAACAGAAGGGAAATAATACCAGAAGGAAATATGAACATTAGGGATTAAGGAAGAGTAAGAGAAATGGTGGGCTTCCTGTATAGCTCAGCTGGTAAAGAATCCACCTGCAATGCAGGAGACCCTGGGTTGGGAAAATCCCAGGGAGGAGGGCATGGCAACCCACTCCAGTATTCTTGCCTGGAGAATCTCCATGGACAGTAGAGCCTGGTGGGCTACGGTCCATGGGGTCACAAAGAGTCGGCCACGACTGAGTGACTAAGCAGAGCACAAGAGAAATGGTAAATAGTTGGATAAATCTATTATGTCCTTCTCTTGAGTTCTTGAAAAACCATTGGCTATTTCTCTCTATGTTGTCCTATGAATTGACTCTGGACAAAGATACCATCACTGGAAATCACTGGCTTGGTCTTAGTCCATTGAGGCTACTATAATAAAACGCCACAGATCTGGCAGCTTATAAACAATAGAAATTAATTTCTTACAGTTTTGGAAGCTGAAATGTCAAAGGTTAAAGTTCCAGGATGATCATATTCTAGTGAGGGTCTTCTTCGTGTTCCACAGCTGGCGCCTTTTCACTATGTCCTAACATGGCACAAGGGCCCCGGGAACTTAGTGTGGTCTCCTTTATAATAACCCTAATCCTATTCATGAAGGTTCCAACCTCATGACTTCCCCAAAGCTACACTTACTAATGCCATCACATTCGGTGTTAGGATTTTGACATATAAATTTTGAGAGGGACAGGAAAATTCAGATCATAGTAATGGAGGTAAGTAAAAACAAACAAACATACAAAAAAACCTTCCAGAACATTTGATAGTGGAAAACAAAAATCAATATTGTTGCACTGGATTTTAATGTATCTAGATATAGACGTAATGTATAAGACAACTACAACATAAAGTAGTGATAATTAAATGGACCTAATTGTAGTGGTAAAATTGTGATTCCAAGTAAGTTGTAGAAAGTTGAATATGTATATTTTAATGCCTAGTGCAATCATTGAAACAGAAAAAATAAACAAAACTATGTAAAATGATAGAATTTCAAAACACAAAAGATAAATTAAAATACAACAATAAAAAGCTCAAAGTACTTCAAAAATTCAGTAAACAGGAAACAGAAATAAGAAACAGGAGAAATATAGAAAGTAAATTTTAAAAAATGATAAAAATTTAAGTCCAAAATATCAAAATTGCATTGAATATAAATAATGTAATTTGTCAATTTTTCTTTAGACTTCTTTAATTTGAAGCCATACTAGTTATACATTCATTTAAAATTGATAGATGTTACTGATGAAAGAGAATATTAATCATTACAGTGTAGGTAATAATGCTTTCTTGCCTTAGTATCTATTTTGTTAAATGTAGTATAGCTACACTGGTAATCTTTTGTTGGCATTGTATATTTTTTTTAACCCTCAATCTTATAAAAATCTTTATTTAAATTTGTCTGTGTGCTTATGTTTTTATATTCTTCTTGCAAAAAATCATATAATTACATTTTAATGTTTAAATTGATGTTGATAATTGTCATTTAAATGGATCATTTATCCCTTTTGCTTATTGATGTTTCAAATCCCTAATAATATTTTGTGCTTATTAATATTTTGTGACCTTCCTCTTTTATGTATGTTTCCATTCTTGCATTCACTTTTGTTGTATATTTTTAGTAATTCCATTTTTATTTTTATAATTTCAAACAATTCCATCTGTTTTCACTTATAATTGGCATATAATTTATACAGTATTTCTATTATCTAAGTGATTCCCTTAGAAATTGTAACACATACGCTTAACTTACCAAGTCCAAAGTGAATTAATACTTTAAACACCATTAGAAGATAAAACAACTTTAGACTAATTCAATAGCATTTAGCCTTGTTGAGTTACATATTGTGGTTGTTGGGAATTTTAATGCTGTGTATAGTTAAGCCTCAGAAGAGGTTATTACAACCATTGCTTTATATACCATTGTTTATTTAAGTTTATCTATATAATTACAGTTTTTTAAATACATTTATTCTTTCTTGCATCTCAGACTTTACAAATACTAACATTCTGACTGGCAACATTTACCTCAACTTTATTTCAATAGTTACAGCATTTTAGGTTGGAAGTTATTTTCTTCCAGTGCATTGAATATATTATGTCACTATTTTGGCTTCTATTCTATTCAGAAATCTGCTGTCAGTTTGACTGTGACTCTTGAATGTGAACTGTTTTATCCTCTGACTGATTAAAGAAATTTTATTGGCCTGTGTGTGTGTGTGCGCACGCGCACATGTGTGCACACGTGTACATACCTTACCGTGGGATTTAGAAAATTTTTCGTAATAGGTATTTTTAGGGTTCCCTGATTTTCTGATTAGTGTTTTTTTAATGAGGTCTCAAAAATTGTCAACTACCATTATTTCAAATTCTTCCCTTTTTCCATTCTTTAACTCTTTTTTTTACAGTTGTAGATAACTATCAATCAGAACTTTCTACTCCATGGTATATGTCTCTTTCCTTCTCTTTTTTATTTTCTGTTTTCTCTTCATGTTCGTGTCTTCCCATCTTTTATTTAGTTTATCAGTTACCTCCTGAAATATAACTACACTGTTTTGGAACCCACCTTCAAATTCTCTATTTTAGATGTTATGTTTCAATTTCATCTATTTACTCCTTTCCACAGGTACCAAGTCTCATTTTCTGTACTGCATATATTTCTTACTTATCTAATATTTCTTGTTTATTTTAATTTTGGGAATATAATATGCATAATGTTTTATAAGATTCTGTCTTATAATTGAAATATCTAAAATTATTTGGAATCTGTTTTGGATTTATGCTTAATATTGTTTTTGTAGTTCTAATTCATTCAACAAATATTTAATAATGGCCAGACTTATTTCTAAGAACAGGGGATTCAGTAATAAACAAAAAATGAGAAGACCCTGACCTCCTGGAGTGTACATTTTAGTGACAACATTTGGCATTAATGAAATGAAGACTACTATCTCTAACTTTTCAGTTTGTTCTTCCAGGGTTTTATCACTATGACAGACTTTAAAGATTTGAATTGCATGATGATGACTCCCTTTTATCACTGTTTGTCCATTTGTTATTTAAATAGATTGAGCTCCTTCAATATTGTGATCATATCCAGTGCATATTCAAATTTTGCCTTCCACCACTGAGCTGCAGTTACAAATAATTTTGTTTTAGCCACCTTCACAGAGGCCCACTGTATTCTATCTATGACATTTCTGGAACGTTTTGCTTCTATATCTCCTAACCAAGAGTATAAAAACAAAGTAGAGTCTGTGTTCAGTTATCTGTGGATGAGTGAGTAGAGATGGAACTTCACAGTTTGCATTCAAGACTCAGTCCAAACTGCATGTGCACCCTAGTTCATCCAAACTAGCAAGTCTTATCTTGTCATAAAGCCTGGAGGTGCTGTCACAACCTGGGCTCAGAAAATACAAGTAAATGAGGGCTAGAAGGCAAATTTTCATTTATCAATGCTCCATCTTCTTATCAAGTGGGCTCTACACATGTTTCCCTTATTTGTGCATCTTTTCCAATTCTATTTCATTTTGTTTCAAAAATACATTTTCTAAAAAATCCTCCCTCTTTTCCAGTCACTGATTCAGATGACCTATACCCATTGTATAGTACTTGGATATGTGATATATGTGTGATCCTGACGGTACTGATGACATTTTTCTCCATACTCATTTTTTGTATACTGCAGACACTGGAAGGTAAGTGAGGCAGCAGTGGGAGGTACCCCCAGCTGAATCAGTTGAGTGTTAAACCTGCACTCTTGAAACTTCTCTTACATGGTTAAATAAGCACAAGGGGGGAAAAAGGTAGCTTGGATTATTCATGTTTTCTTCTACATTAGCAAGCAGAACAAGGGCATTTTAGGGTTTAACCTCATGCCTTGTTAAGTGCTCATTCCATTAAATTCTAAAATTCCCCTTCCCTGATAAAAGAACACAGAAGTGTGAGAATAGGGGTTTTACCATTTATATTAAATAAAGAGTTAGTGTCACTAGAGAAAGACCTCAGCCCAATCACACCTAGCTGTTGACCAATTAATTATTGAAGATTCTCTTTTCACAGGGAAGACCCACAGGGAAGGTCCTCTTTGATATCTCCATGGAACTCTTCCTTCACCTGAAGCTTATGACATGGTGATGAAAGCACACATACAGGGAGGAGTAGCATATAATCCAAAACATGAGCAATCTCCATCTAAGAGTCACAAATCAGCAAAAAGAAAGAGCAGATGCAATAGCATAAGAGCCAGAGCAACAAAAGCAGATTCATTTCATGCCCTTCTGAATGCCACAGTTCCAAACCCTAATTCATTACTCAGTCATTATACTTCTCTGGGACTAGTAAACAAGTGTAGTGTCTTTAAGAATTTGGGGGCTACATAGTGAATAAGAGTGGAGATCACATTAATCTTCCTATTCTGCACTTTCAAGTTCATGAATAAAATGTGCAAAAAATCCTACTTACTGTGTGGTACATATACACCATGGAATATTACTCAGCCATTAAAAAGAATTCATTTGAATCAGTTCTAATGAGATGGATGAAACTGGAGCTCATTATACAGAGTGAAGTAAGCCAGAAAGATAAAGACCATTACAGTATACTAACACATATATATGAGATTTAGAAGATGGTAATGATAACCCTATATGCAAAACAGAAAAAGAGACACAGATGTATAGAACAGACTTGTGGACTCTGGGAGAAGGCGAGGGTGGGATGTTTCGAGAGAACAGCATCGAAACATGTATATTTTCTATAGTGAAACAGATCACCAGCCCAGGTTGGATGCATGAGACAAGTGCTCGGGCCTGGTGCACTGGGAAGACCCAGAGGGATCGGGTAGAAAGGGAGGTGGGAGGGGGGATCGGGATGGGGAATACATGTAAATCCATGGCTGATTCATGTCAATGTGTGACGAAACCCACTACAATATTGTGGAGTGATTGGCCTCCAACTAGTAAGAATAAATGAAAGAAAAATCCTACTTACTGAAACTCTTTCTCATTTTGCTGAAAGTTTGATATTTTAATTCTAGAGGCTTTTATCTTCTTGTGGGCCATAGATACCTAAACATTAGTCTCTTTTATAATAAGTCCTTCCAATAATAGATACAGGAAATAGAAAAGAAGTAGAGATATTTAGGCAAGCTTACAGAATCTAAATCCTCTCTGCTTGTTACTTACTATCCACTGATTACACAGACAGTATTCCCAAGGCAAGTAAGAAACAGAGACAAGGCTAGGAAAGTTACCACTCCAAGGTACTGAGAACTTCTGCAAAAGAGTTAAACTTCAGTCAGTGGAGACTGAGCCTACTGCCATTTAAATTTGATTTGAGCTTCATATCATGAACTAAAGTGGCACCAAATGTTTTAGACCCATAAACCCAACAATGATCTGCCCTGTTGACTTTCCCACTACAATTGTGTAGGAAGGCCAGTCCAACAGGGCACAGCAGTCAGGAAAAAAATCAGGACAAGGGAAAGAAAGACAGGACAAAAGTGTGTTTGTTTGAGTTCCCTGGGCCATACAGCAAATGTAAGTTTCCATGTTACTCTTTCCATACATCTCACCCTCTCCTCCCCTCTCCCCATGTCCATAAGTGTATTCTCTATGTCTGTTTCTCCACTGTTGCCCTGTAAATAAATTCTTCAGTATGGAGGGAGTTTCAAAAGGGAGGGGATATATGTATACCTATGGCTGATTCATGTTGAGGTTTCACAGAAAACAGCAAAATTCTATAAAGGAATTATCTTTCAATAAAAAATAAATTAATTTTAAAAAGAAATAAAGCAGGGGATTATAAATTTGATGGTATTAAAAAAGTGACTCTCTCATTGACCAGTTATATTAAAAGAAGAACAAAATAAAACTTTTAGAAATGACAAAAAAAAAAAAAAAAAAAAAACATGTTTGTCCCAGTGGAGACTTACATTAAGGCTCTGCTTCCCGCTAGAGATGAAAATCAAAGTCCACACGGAGAGGGAGGTAGGACACCATCTGTATATTAAACAATGTCTCCAGAAGAATAGCATGCCAACAATAGAAAGAACAAAGTGACAGCTAAGAGACAGAAAAGGGCTGTGCTCACTCTAACATAAACTCCTTTTGTCCCTTTCTTGCTACTGTTCAAGGGTTTTCCCTTCTGGCAAAAGAGGATCAGATAAGAGTCCAAATTGGTCCTAATTTGCTGATGTCCAAAATACCCATCAATTCCCTAAGCTTGTGAATCAGGAATTTCCTTTTCTGAGAGGTGTCAGAGTGTGTCTCGTCCTGACTTGTTTCTAAGTGAAGCAGTTTCAGAAGTATCAGGCTTCCTTTACCTAGACTGCAGTTGCCAAAGAAATGGGTCATAGCTATGATATTTGAGTTAATGTTCTACTTCCAAATAATACCACTTAATGTTTTCCCTGAAAAATATATTCCAAATATTCCAATATGGAATTAGAATTATGTCTGTCTTGGGAGAGACTCTATTCTCTTTTCAAAACTGTACACTCCAAGTTTATTGTAGGCAGTTCTCAAGTTTTGTGCCTTGCATGATATACTTAAAGCATTATCTTTGTTTGTCTCTATGTATCTCTCTATTTTTCAAGTCTTCTTGAATGACCCTTATAATTTACATAAAAATGATTGCTAATATTGGTTTATGCACTAGAACTTAACTGTACAGAATGTTACAATCAAAGGGGTTCTTCTTTCTCCAATTTTGTTTTATCTAGAAAATGTAGACCTTTACCTTGATCTCCACTGTTCTGTGGATGTCATGGAGTACCAACATGGCCTCTGGTGTACACTGTCCCCATATCTAACTAATTTGACTTGAACTTATACACCTTCAATATTACTCACTGCTTCTGTAACAAGTTTTCTACAATGATGGACATTCAACTTGTCTTACAAAACATAGGACACTTGAAGACCATAGAACCAGCAGTATAAAATTTTGAGGAAAAAGCATTTTGGACCAAGAGCTTATACTTTTGTGTAAACCCAAATAATTTCCAATGTATGAGAGCAAATTAAAATTTCCATATATATTCTAAGACTCCTAAAATATATCACCTATGTGCCTTCCTTGCAAATTTATGTGAGAAATTACCTAAGCCAAGTACAATTGTACCATAATTAAGATCTCAAGCTAGGAGACTATCTCATATATAGGAAAAGTGGTATGCTGAGAAACAACTAAATATATCATAAAATCTAAATGTTTCCCTTAAATAATCCAAACATACCATAGTCAGAAATATAAAAGGACTAAAATTTTGACTTGCAAACTGAGACTTAAATTGGATGAAGTTACAAAATAGAAGATGGTTGGTTTTCAGGACATATGCTTTGATGGTTAATTTTATGTGTCAACTTGACTGAGCTAAGGGACCCCCAGATAAGTGACAAAACACTTCTGGGTGTGTCTGTAAGTGTGTTGCCCGAAGAGTTTAAGATCTTAATCAGTAGACTGAATAAAGCAGTTAGAGCTCTCCAAGATGGAAAGACATCATCCAATGTGTTGATGGTCTGAATAAATCAAAGAGGTGGAGGAAGGGCAAATTCTGTCTCTTCTTAAGCTGAGATGTCCACATTCTCCTGACCTCGGACATCAGAGATCCTGGTTCTTAGGCCTTCAGACTCCAGAACTTAACACCAATGACCCTCGATTCTTAGGCCTTAGATTGGGAGTTACACCTTCAGTTCCCCTGGTTCTCAGGTCTTGAATTTGGACTGAATTATACCACCAGCTTTCCTGGTTCTCCAGCTTGCAGTTGGAAGATTGTGGTACTTCAACTAGTATCTGCAGCCATGTGATCCAATTCTTATAACATATTATAAAACATTCTTATAACATATTCCTATAACATATTATATAAGTTATATATCTCTACATATATCCTACTGGTTCTGTTTCTCTGGAGAATAATGACTAGTATATATACTTAAAACATAATGATGAAAGCAGTTTCAGTGTAAAGGGATTAAAAAAAACCTGGAAAATAATAGCTGTATACTGATATTAGGGCTTTCCAGGTAGCACAAGTGGTAAAGAATCCCCTGCTGATGCAGGAGTCTTGAGAGCTGTGAGTTTGATCCCTGGGTCAGGAAGATCCCCTGGAGGAGAGCATGGCAACCCACTCTAGCTTTCTTGCCTGGAAAATTCCTGGCAGGCTACAATACATAGGGTCATAAAGATCCAGACATGACAGTAGTGACTTAGCATGCACACACATGCATACTGATATTACTTGTAATTATAAAGAAAACATAATTCATATAGATGAAGAGGATTATTATTGTTGTTCAGTTGCTCGGTCGTGTCCGACTCTTTGTGACCCAATGGACTGCAGCACTCCAGGCTTCCCTGTCCTTCACCAACTCTTGAAGCTTGCTCAAACCCATGTCCATTGAGTTGGTGATGCCATCCAACCTTCTCATCCTCTGTTGTCCCCTTCTTCTCCTGCCTTCAATCTTTCCCGGCATCAAAGTCTTTTCCAATGAGTCGACTTCACATCAGGTGGCCGAAGTATTGGAGCTTCAGCTTCAGCATCAGTCATTCCAATGAATGTTCAGGGTTGATTTCCTTTAGGATTGACTGTTTTGATCTCCAGGATTACTACACAGCATTTTAAACTTTAGCCATTTTTGTTGGCATGTGGTACTATCTCACTGGGTCTTAATTTGTATTTATGTGATAATGACAAATGACACTTAGTGAAATGTATTGGGGAAAGGAACACATTTAGACATGATATACTTGTCTTTCACAGCACAAAAAACAATCCAGGGCAAGGCATAAGTGTCTACATGAGACTTTAAGAGAGTGAACTGTTATACTGTAATCCAATATGCTAGATTACAGAAGGAAAAGTTTGATGGGGACCTAACACCTCAAAGAAAGATTTCTGGAGGTGGAGTTTGAATTGGACTTTTAAGATTATTAATGTTTTGGGCTCAGAAATCAGGAGAAATAAAGCAAGAGGAGAAGACAATTAGTGATGCTAAGAAATAGGACTGTTGTAAGAATGGCTTTTTTTAAGCAGTCTTGCTCCTCTCTTAGGTTCCCGGTGATTTGAAAAGTTCCTCTGTGAGATATGCATGGTGGATGAGAATTAGGAACATGTTAATATAGTTCTCTGATGATAGAATTAAATGAGTCATAGAGTTTGAGTTCAGCATCTTTCTGAGAATATGTTATATCTGGAAATCCTTCACTTTCCTTCAGGACTGAAATTTTATAATAGGAATGCTTTGTTCAGTATAGTTAGGTCTGAAGAGTAAATTGAAAAGGACATTTTTTCCTAGGGTTGTACAGGTATACAGATTATTCATTTTTTTTTCTCTAAGCCTGAAACCATCATGGTCCATATTGCAATTCATATATTAATTTTAAAATATACATATTATTACACTATTTTAAGTTGTTATACCTAAATTTTAGAGTCACAAACACTATATATAAGTTAAGGAAAATACTTAAAATGACCTAGGAAAATGTTTTTTACTG